CCTAAAGGAAAAGCCAGCTGGGAAAATAATGTATAGCTGAATGATGAACAAAACGAAGGGTAGATTCAAAAAAGACTCTTGTGACATCACTGCATTTAGAATAGGTGGATATATGGTTGAAATAATTTTAAATGCTTATTTATAAAAAATTCAGTTCATATGCAAACCTGTATATACTTCAGAAAGAAAGGCTCATCTATGTAGTTTTAAGTTTTCAAAAGATATTCCCTCTCTTTGTATAGGTGTGTCTGTGGGTGGGTGTGTACGTTTGTGGGTGTGGAGGTCCTCTTCGGAATCAGTTCTCTCCTTCTGCTCTGTGTATCCTGGGAACAGAACTCAGGTCATCAGACAGGGTAGCAATTGTCCTCACCCACTGAAACATCTTGCTATCCATTTCAAAATACCCTTTGAAGTTCCTTTTCTAGAGAGATATGTACCACTGTTAGATCCTCACTAAAGTCAAAATGGATCACGTAGCATGTCTAAATTATGAAAATATATTCATACAAAATAATGTGTTCAAACCAATTGTTTCTTGGAATGAATTAATAGTTATTTCCTTTTTATTTGTTTTAATGTCTATCCTATCCCTTTTTCAAAACTTAAAAATTCTCAAAATTTAGCAACAAGAGTATAACATTGGATTCTAGATTTCTAATTCAAATATTTTGTCAATAAAAATAAGAAATGTTCAAAAAATATTCAAGAAAGTCCCAAGTATTATAGTTTTATATCTATTCACATTTTTGAAGTTTTCTTCTGTACTTAAATATGGCATAGTACCATGGATATTCTATGGTGTGACTTCTACGGTGTGGAATAAAATGTTGCTATTAATATGGGTAAACTTGCTTTACCAAAGGACTGTAGCAACAAAGACAAATACAGAAAAGTCTTGTTGTGAGGAAGTCTGTAAAGAAACGCACCTATCTATGTTCTTCGTGGGTAAATGTAGAAATGATTGGTCACATTTGGGGTGAAGAATTTCTTCCTCTTCCTAGAAGTAAAATCATTCTTTCCCAATAAGCATCCCCAGGGAGAAAGCCCTTCAGAAACCAAGATCTTTCCAGTCTAATTTCTGAGCGCTTCTGCATGAAGAAAGCCTTACTTCACTCCAAGCTCAGATACTCTACTCCTTTCTTCAAATTATTCTTATTCTCTCCATGGTACCAAGTGAAATTAGCTGGACAGCATCAGCTGAACAAAGTTTGCTACATCAGTTAAAACTCGAAATATGCCTTACCTCCAGTTTTATTAGACAATTTCAGAATTATGTATACCCTTTGTTTAACTTTCTTTTATAAAGAAAAATGTTTCCTTTATGAGTTTCAAGGTCTCATTAACCTGTCATTATTCAGTGGCTAAAATAACATTAAGATGAGTAGGATAACTGTCTTACTTCTAGTGCATCTGTAACATGACAGTCATGTTCAATATGACATGATCCCCACTCTTAGGAAATTCACAATCTCTGAACCAGGTATGATGACAGAGACAAACTCTCCAAGTTTGAATATAATCTGGTCTACATACTGAGTTCTTGGCTAGTCGAGACTGAATAGTGAGACCATGTCTCTTTAAAATATATATATATGTATATATATATATACATATATATATATATTAATTCTCTAATACAATAGATACAAGACACATGATGCTGTCGGTTAACTTGTAAGTCAGGGCAGCAAGAAAAAGCCTTGAAAGACAAACAAGATGTAGTCTAAAGTGAATGTGAAGTGGGACCACTGAAAGTTAACAGTGAAGTCTTTTAAAGCAATATGAGCCATAAAAAGTGTGTCATGTATGAAGAATTAGAAAGTGGAAAAGACTAAAGTGTAGGGACAACTGGATGGGATGGAATACTGGAGGCACGACAGTCAAAAATTTGAGTTGAAAAGAAGGTCAAGGCCAGGGTTATAGAACAATTTTCTACAGAGTGCAAGCCTAAGGACTTTGTCCAGCAAGAGGTGCAAGGAGAAAATTAACAAGGCCAGACAACTGTGTGTGGATACAAAGGGCAGGCTAGAAGGAGACAGGATCACAGGTAAGAAAACCAAACTCAAAACCTATCCCAGACCTCTGGCAGCAGCCTGAGGGAGCAGGAACACATGGGGACGGGGATGAAACAGGCAGAAAATTGGATACTTCTGAGAGGCAGGTTAAATAACTCAGTAACTACAAGTTTTTGCAAAGAACTGAAGGCACAGTATAAATCAAGGATTTTTCAGCTTGGACAGCAATATCTTCATTTAAAAAGACAACAGAACTAAAGAGACACATTTTGTGGCAGCCAGGTGTGGTAGTGGCACATGCCTATAATCCCAGCATTTGGGAGGGGGAGAAAAATAATCAGGAGTTCGAGATCATCCATAATCATCTATAATAGTGAGTTTGAGGCCACTATATAAAAATAAAATAACTGCCAATCTGGAAAAACATTGGTCTTTTTAATGTGAATTCTCAATAGGGTTTCATGTTAATTTAAACACTGTTTTATACCAACAATAGAAAGGAGGAGGGTGACTCCAGAGATATCCTCCAGAGGATCCCTGTGGGGCATTAGAGGTGAAGATGAAGGAGATACAAGACAGGAGACCAAAGATGGAAATATTGGCATGTTGGGTGTGGTTGCTCAGAGACTTGCTGACCAGAACACTAACCAACACTCACATGAGTCTCCAATGGAAGTAATCAAATTTCACTGAAAGAAAAAATTCATTTCTGTGTTTCCACTAACCACATATCATCAACTTAATAGATGGACAGTGAGTGGAATAAGAAGGAATCAAAGGGGGAGAAAAAATATATAGGTCCACATTGCTGAGACTGAAGGCATGAGGGATGGGACACTCAGAATGAAAGCTGATAAAGACACAGAATATGAAAAGGAGCAAAAGTCACCTTCTGGTATCATTCTCTACCCTGGCAGCTAGTGCAGTACTGGAATCACCACCAATTCATTCGGATATGAAATGACTCAATGAGACCTCATTCATTCACTCAGAGGACATGCTAAACTTGTATAAAAATTCAAGTAACTTCACTGGAAAGGAAATGGTGAAAAAATGACCGTTCCCTTCCCAGGCTTTAAGGGCCTTGCATAGCTGCTGTCCTTAGCCATTGTCCTTCTGAGAGTTTTGAAGCTCTCTAGTTGAAATCTCAGAAATACATTTCAGAGATACATGAAACTTGGACCCAGACACCAAAGAGCATGTCAAATCGTCTTCTTTGATGAAAACTAAAGAGACTGGACCACGTTGGCAGGGGCCGAGGAGACAGAGGCTGTTGCACTGTGAGTATAGAGTTTCCGGCTAATTGAAAATTCTGAACTGACTTAATGACAGTCCAGCAATCAGAACGTACTTAATGCCATTGAACTCTACACTTAAGAGAATTTAAAAAGATGGAATTTGTTTTATGTGCATTTTACCACAAGGCTTTAAAAAAATCAACTTGAATTATTTTTTCCTACACATGAAATCTGTCATCCGATGAATGAAGTTTCGATGCGGCATTTCACATTTGAAGAAAGTGGTGAGGGTTCTGGTACAGCACCAGCTGCCAGGGCAAAACAAACTACTGTGAGGTCACGCTTTTACACCCTTTCTTCTTTTGACTCCTTAAGTGGCTTTTATTCTTAGGAAACCTCTAACCACCCCTTGTGCCTGGGAAGTTTAAGATAACAGACATTGAAAACAAACAGTTCTAGCAAACAGCTGCTGCTTGAAGTAGTATAGGTGCTTGGGAGATCAAGGTCTGCAATATGGGTTTCCTGAGGTCTAAGCTAGTAACAGTCTCTTATATCTGTGGACATCCATCCACTCATCTGACACCACCAACAGTCTGAATACACAAAACAAGTTAGAGCTTTAAACAGCACTGAAAGAAAAAAAGAACACGTCAGACACGTTTCATACTATGGACAATATTCTCCACTCACAATCACTTTCACTTTCTACATATTTAGTTTTCTGCAACCTGCCACAGGCCAGATAGTAAAAGCAAAGTTCTAGAAATAATTATAATTTTAAATAGCTTTAATGATAGAGCTTTGTTAGGATTCTTCTAGTTTCTTACTACCACTGTTAATTTTGTGCCTTGACTAATTTATAAATTAAGCTTTATCATAGAAGTGTGTGTACAATGAGAAAACAGCCTCTAGAATACAGGCTCCACGGCTATCCGTGGAGACATGAATCTACCAGCTATATTGGAACATGTCCCTGGGGGATGAGGAGTAACTATACTTCTCCTTTGGATTTACTTCACGGGTCAGTAGCTTCAGTTAGTGCTAGAATTGCAAAGTATAAATATCAGCAGTAAACCCTGGGGCAACTATGTTTGTGCAGGCAAAATGCTCACTCTGCAATTAAGGGAGGGCAAGTATCCATGAATCACTCTCCCTTCATTCTGACAGGCCCAGGAGCAAAGCTCAGGGATAGGAACACAAAAGGGATGCTGTAAGAAGCCAGTGGCTACTTCCATTTGTGCTACTGCAACCTGGCAGCTCAAAACTTCAGGCTAAAACCTAAATCAAATGCAGGTGAAAGTTTGTGAATATAGAACACATAATTAACCAATGGATGTTCGTGCCAAGGTCTTTTTACAACTTATAGGATAACTACTTCCACTTGGGTTTTTACTCAGCCTGCCACCAACATCCAGGCTTTTTCTTGTGAACGCACTGGCAAAACTGAACTAAACACTCGCACATTCGCACAGCACATCCTGTTTCCTCTCCAAGCAAAAGTACTGTGTATGGAGAAGGCGGCCAGCATTTCAACGGTTCTGCTTTCCTTGCCCACCCCTGCAAGCCTTGCACTGATTGCGCAGATTCTGCTGATGTCACAGCCTGACAAATAAAAACACCTCATGACTGGAAGCCAAATATAACACTGGAACAAAGCAAAGACAGACACTAGAAGTGGAAGGCAACCAGGGTGGAAGAATGAGAGAGAAGACATACAAATGGACGACATGAGTCATGCTGTACTTACAACTTTCAGCCTGATAGTCGGGCACAAACTGCTCATCATTGTCAGGTACCTGAGCTGAAGAAGGAAAAAACAGAAGGTTTTAACAATTAAGAGAGGAACTGCCAAGATGTAAGGAAAGTCATGTCAGATTCGTCAAGCAAGGCCTATTTTGACGGAGCTCAGACCTGTGATTATTTGCTAATGACCTCCTCTTTACAACAGTCTTGACAGCATAAGAAATGGAACGAAAAGGTGCATTGATGTAATTGGAAAACATAAGTGTGTCAGAAATAGTGGAATAGCAGGTGTGATCCCTCTGAATTTCACCTGCCAGATGAAGTTAAGGAGATGGCAAATTAAATGGGCAGGATTCCTGTATCCTGCATGGTTGCATCTTGCATAAGTTGAGTTGAAGGCATGTTCATTCACCCACTACTGGTACTTAAGCTGACCATGGTGGTGAACTACAAGGAGTTTATTTTTCCAAGTGATATGCAGTTATCACACAAATTCCCCATAATTTTGAAATGACTTCTTTGGGTAAGTTCTGTCTTCTGAAAATAAGACTACCATAATTAAAAACATTTTCCCTAAGTTTGTTCAAAACAAGCCATAAAGCTATAAAAATGACAGAACCATCTTTGACTTGGGCCACATGTTACAAAGCAATATATTTTAACAATTGTATTTATAAAAAAGTAGATAAATAACAAATAATAAGACCAATATCATCTTTCCATGCAAAATATTTTCCTGGTTATTCTAGTCAGTGCTCAGGAAAGAACCACACCATCAGCCCCTAAGGTCAGTTGACTTCCAGCTTGGTTAAAGGAAAAAAACTAATTTGGCAAACATAATACATTCAGCTGCAATTAAAACAAAAGTCCATTCTTTCACCTTGAAATGTTTATTAACTTTGATGTGGACATCAAAATAACCTATTCAATCTCATAGGATATGAGTGAAAACTCACTAAGTTTTCAAATACACAGATATGCATACCTTCTATATAAACTACACAAAGCAGAAATCAGGTTACTTGTAACTTGGTGAACATATAATGAGCTGTCATCCTTATTAACTTCCAATGTGATCTCATTAGCTAGTATTACTTTACTAATATTGTATAATACTGTACATTTTTATCTGATCAAGTCATATTAAGAGAGACGTCAATCATATATTTTTAATGAACTTATTCTGTGTGGGGAATATTAATTAAAATAATCGGTTTTAGACAGGCATGTAATCCTAGCATTTGGAAGGCTGAGGCAGGCTCACCAATAGTCTGAGGCTAGCCTCAGGCACTTAGAGAACTTCAGGCTAATGTATGCTACAAGCTGGAATTCTGTGTCAGGAATCAAATAATAACAATAACAGTAATTACTCTCTGTTGAAATGTTTCAGGATGATAAGTGAGTTAAAAAATAAACATACCATAAAAAGGAAATGTATGATATAATTCCATGTAAAAACAGAACACAGCCTCAATAAATTTTTCTTTTCTACATTTATCTAATTGCTTTCATTGTAAAAGGAAACACTTTGATGAGTAAAGCAAGTATTACCCTGGTTAAGAATATAACTATCCTAAGCTAGCCTTGCCTAGTATTAAAATGTGTATATCACAAAGTTGCTTTCTAGTGATTTTCCTCATACCATATATGGAAGACACACCATTCCCTACTGCGAAAACAAACAAAAAGATTAACCAATGGTAATTTCTAGTCATAACTGGTAGCAACTTGATCAGCCCATAGTAGAAGCAAGTTTTTCTTCTTAATCCACCAGTATTTGATGCTGTATTTAACAGAGTTCAAGTTAGACAGTTTTACCTCACAGACTAATGATTTGCCACCTATAGGTAATTTATTTAAGTGCCACTTGCCACGCACACACCACTGCAACTTAATGCAATAATAAGGGGACTTTTTAAACCCACAAATGGGGTAGTTTAAGCATGATCCCAGATACTTGGATATTAGATACATTCTCCTTTCCTATCTTCTGTCACCACCCACTCCCTAAAAGTAACACTCACAATGCACTTACAGGCATTATCCCAGCCAGCTTAATGTTTTTATATTTTACTTCTAACAAACATGAGTGCACAAGATGGGTGGTGGCAGTGCACACCTTTAATCTCAGGACTTGGGAGACAGAGGCAGGCAGAGCTCTGTGAGTTCAAGATTGGCCTGGTCTACAAAGTGAGTTCCAGGACAGCCAGGGCTACACAGAAAAACCCTGCTCCAACAAACAAACAAAACAAAACAAAAAAATCAAAAAGAAAGTAGAACCATGACTGGATGCAGAAAAAAAAAAGGTGCCTTAGCATTCTCTTAGCCGTTGACAATGTATTTTTGCTACTGACAACATAGTTTATGACTTTCTGCACAGACTGACAAAGAAATGACCTTTATAATATGATTTTTACATCTAAAATAATTACAAATGCTTTAACATATTTAATGGCAGCAAATAAATCACCAAATACTCAACTTTTAAAAAGTATATCCATATTTTAGCTTTCCCTCTAAATTAAGGGCTAAACAGATACAGACCAGGTGTGGTGGCACACACCTTCAGTCCCAGCCCATGAGAGGCAAAGGCAGGGACATTTCTGAGTTTAAGGCCATCTTGGTCTACAGAATGAGTTCCAGGACACCCAGGCCTACACAGAGTAACGAAAATCAAAAACAGATCTGCTAAGGAGATACAGCAATTGAGGTACAAAATATGATTTTTAAAATGACAAAATTTGGGGCTGGAGACGGTTCAGTGGTTAAGACCACCTGCTGTTCTTTCAAAGGACCCAGGTTCAATTCCCAGCACTACCTAATACCCCACATGGTGGCTCACACCATCTGCAGTTCCAGTTCCAGGGGGTCTGATCTCCACAGGAACTAGGCACACACATCGTACACAAACATACTTGCAGTATCCACACACGTAAAATAATAAAACAATGTTCTTTATTTAAAGCAAACCATCCTTCCAGTGTAGAGGCACAAAGCAGACAAATAAAATAATAAAATAAAATGTGATTTACAATAACCTAATGAAAATGTAGCGCTTGCTATAGGAATGGTTGAAAACAGGTAGTGAGTTATTTGAGGCTTAACACGCTTGCACAGCCAGACCTTTTCCTTCATTTCATAAGACAGAGCTGCAGCTCCACGGAATAGATGACAAGAGGGACAGCATGAACGGTCCCAATACAGGTGTGTGGTGTGTGCTGGGTTTCAGTCTATGTGTGTGGCTAAGTGGCAGAAGAATCTAGAAGGTATACCTCACAAGCACAGGGAAAATAGCTCCATACTAACAATTTGTAAAAAAGAGTAAGGATGAAGGATGCTATTTCTGTTCTAACTCCTTAACATACTGAATAAGTACTTCACACTTATGCTTGAACATATTACAGAATTTTAACAAAAAACATATGACTCACATTTTCCCAGAAGCTAATCTTAAGACACGGAATAGATTGAACGAAGCAGCACACTACTTAAATAGACAAAGGCTTAAGTCTACCTCTAACTTCAAATTGGAGTAAGAGGAAAGCATTTAACCAAAAACACAACTTGGATTTGGGCAAGGAAACTATGGCACAGTATCATCACAGTTGTAGCATACATTTTTTTCTTTAATTCACAAAAAAATCCTGTGAAGGAGCAGACTACAGCTGCCTAAGATAGTGTTGCAAGCCATACCAAACCCAACATTGAAAATTAACAATATAAGCCAACCTAAACTTTTTAAGTGTTTTTTTTTTTTTTTTTTATTACATTATTGTCTAAACTTGAAGTGTTGCTCCTTGGGCAATGAAACTGTTTCTCCATACAATGCAGTAAAAGAGGAAGGAGGACAAGAAGAATGGAGAAGGGGAGAAAATATAACCAAAGAGCTGAAGCAACTCTATCAGTTCATTTCCCATTAATAGACCAGTTGCAACTGACTCTCTGAATCTTTGCTTTAAAGACATAGCAGTGGCACTCTCAGCTTTTGGCTTTATCTAGTCTCCTATCCAAAGCTGTTCTTTAATACCCTTTCGTGCTAGGCCATGGCAGAACTGTGTGAAATAAATTCATAACAGTATTAATCACAAGCAAAATGTCACAGAATCAATGCCCCATTTTCCAACTTGACTGTCGGTCCTTCCTTAAGCACCAGTGCCTTGGGGAAAAGCAGTTTTAAATACAGCTTGCTTTTACTTTATGCCAATTTTCAATTTTTAAATAAAACAATATTCATTACTTAAGAAATGGTGAGCATTTAAAAAATTTTCAAATTTAGCTGCAGGCAAGTAAAATCCCTTTTATTCTTACAAACAGCTGTCTGATGGGTTTTCTTTTAAAGCCATGGGGGGGGGGTGCAGAGGGAGTGGGAAAATTACAAATGAAACAAATGTCAAGTATTAAAGGGGTTAATATTTAATTAAAACCAGTTCTATCCACTGTAACAATGACCTGGAGCCAAACAAGGCGGAAGATGTATGACTCATTCTTTCTACCCGTGAATGAGACAGCTGATCTCCTCAGCGTTTCCTCAAGACAAGCAGGCAGAACTGGATTTCTGCCTCCATTCACAAAAACACAGTCCAGCATGGACCATGTGGCTCAACCGCAATCTTTTCATGTCACACCCTTCCAGAGAACTAAAGCAAGTAAGCTGAACTTGTAGGGTAAACACACCAAATTTTATTGAGCTGCCTCACATTAAAATAAATGACATGTATAAAGACGGGGTGGGAGGGAGAGAAGGAGAAAGCAAGATGTACATACACATATTCAATCCATCATAGTATACAGGGAACCTTGGTGCGAAAACACCCATGTGCAAAACTTAGGAAAGAAAGTGGAAAATAAGGAAAGCTGATGAAAGAAGAAAGAAAGAAAAAGGGGGTGAGGAGAGCAAAGGTGGGTGGGTGGATGGGGTGTCCTAAGATGGGTTGGGTGTACCTAAAGAGACAGGGGGTTTGCTGAGCATGCTGGAAGCCATTAGTTTGATTCCCAGCAGCAAAACAATACGAGTAATAAAATAAATAGATGGCCTTTTTTGCTTCTCTGTCATTCAAGTTTTGAGTCATAAGCATGTGGCATATTATTGCGGAGGTTTATCTGAAGAAATTTAAATTTTATTTTAAGTAAAACAAGAAAATCAACATTTGCACTGTGGTACTGCTTCTAATCCTAAAATGAGGCTTCGGAACAAATAATCATGAGCTCTCTAAGCCTACTTTTTACACCACATCCGGTTTAACATTAGAATGATTGCAAAGTAAAAGCATTAATTAGTGCAGAAATATAAACATATTTCAGTAGAAAGGGGAGGGTGGCTTTCCTAGATAGAAAGGCCTTGAAGGCTGGATGCACTCTTTGTATATGTGTGAAAAGCAGGGAAACAGGAAGGCCTCCAGTCGGCTTCAGTTTCTCACTAAACTGACCTGCAGTGACTTGAAAACTTGAAAGGCCAGGCAGGCAGCAGCAGTCTGCAGCCAGAGTTTCCCTGTCTCCTTCTACAGAGGCCTGACTCTGTCATTATTCTTACTACTTGTAAATACAAAATTGTACATAAACCAAAGACACAGAGTTGCACTGCAGCATGAAAGACACATTCTCTGTAAGTCAACTGGAAAAGTTCAGTATTTCACATGTCAGCACTTTCTGAAAAAACTACACTATGCTTCACCAAATCCAAAGTTTCTATTTAAAAATAATTTTTTCTTCTTTTCAAAGAAGATCATAGATGAGCTACATTTACATTCTTCCTATGGATATTTAGAAGGAAAATACAATTGTTCTAGCTTTACTTCAAATCAGTGTCCTTTCACATTTTACAGAGATTTCTAGCACACAAAAAAACAGATGGTAGCAGCCACTATTCCAATACACACACCAGACAGACAGACACAGACACACAACACACACACACGCACACAAACGAATGAGACTCATCTCCCACCCAATTCTAAGACCTGTGTGGACTTCCTTAATGGTGAATCATCAGATCCTATTTTATATAACCACATAAAGTACTATAGTTATAAAAACTGCACCATATAAGAAAAAGAAATATGAGCATATTCAATGCTAGCATTGTGTTCTCTTTTCTTTTTAAAGTAGAGTGTCTGAGCAATTAAATTGAGTGCCTCAAGAGTACTGTGTATAGTGGAGGTCACATGTAGAGATAATAGCAACTCATATTCCCAGGAAGTATCATGAAACATAATTTGGACATAAATTTTGTATCAGAAGCAAACTGAGGAAAATGCAGTAACATCCCTATTTCAAGGCCAACATGACCATTATTTGACAATTTCATAAAACCAAAGGCAATCAATTTCCTTATTTATATGAAATTATAATGAAGTTTAGTGTAGCACATTGCTTTTGGTGATATAACTCCAAGCCCTAGCTGTAGTTGCACCCTGAAAGGACTTCACTATGTCCCAGAAAGCCTTTTACCCTGATGGTGGTGAATCACCACTGGTAACTTTCTCAAGCTCATTCATAACAGGAACCTCAAGACACCCAGACCACAACAAAATAAGACAAAAGTGGTCATGTTTCATTAGAGATGTACACTGAAATATTCTACTTTCCTGTAAGTTGTATTAGCAGGTACATGTTGGTAGGAACATTTAGAAAGACATTTCTTGACTTGTTTTTCACTCCCTTCTGTTCCGCAAATAAGAAGTTTTGGACAGCACTTACTATTTATAGCTCTCAAAACAAGTTAAGAGCAAAAAGTTGCTAAGATGTTGATAAGGGTGACATTTTAACTAGTTACTCCAATTGCCTGTCAGTAGCAATCTAATTCAAAGGACTGGGAATCAATAAAGAATTGTCCATAGTGAAGTTCAATATAAAGCAGGTACGGTAACATTTAAAATAAATATCATCTCTATTCCTTTTATCGGATACTGTAGCCATTGAAAATGTTAGCTTTATACTCTTTCTTCAGAATGTGATTATTTGCAGTTGTGGTGTGCTTGTTACCAGCCTTTAAACTGCAGCACTAGCGCTTGGGAAAGTGCTTCTAATGTGAAGTTACATTCTACAAACCTGTTTTCCATCTTTGTTTTCAGACAAAGCTGCAAGGAAGAGTGCAATCATTATCTGTACTGAGGACTTTAGTAGAATGAATATACCAACTCTATCATTACCCTCTGAAAGTCCTGCCTTATCTACCTCAACTGCCCTTTAGAGATGGAACACGTTTTATACTCCACAATAATTTACTCATGACTAATCAATATGCCATACTTGGTATAAACATTCTTACAGAAAAGATATGTAAAATTCTAAGATGCATCATTTCTATTTAGGGACTTTTAGGATTTTCTTCTTCTTTTTTTTTTTTTTTTTTTGTAATGTAATTATCATATGACACTGTGCAGCAAACTTGATTCTTATGTCTACAAAAGATTTTTAGGATCCTATTAGACTTCCTAGAGGGATTCTAATTCATGGGGAAAACTTGGTAAATTGTCAATCATCTCCTTCTAAACGATCAAAATGCCTTAAAAACCTATGGTCATTTTCTTGGCTATGTGTCATATAGTTTGCCAGTTTAGCAATCCATTAATCTCTGCCTATCCAGAAGAGCAGAAATGATCAAAACTAGCAACAAATTAAGTAGTCTAATTTTGGGAATCTCTTATAAGTTATAAGATAAGCCAAATAAAAAATACATATACACAATAATTATATTTAATTGCCAAGGACAAAACTAAATATGTAGTTTATTAACATTAAAAAACTCTCCTCACTATTAGATTTTTACCTTAATAAATTTTTCTTACATCATAACTGGATAAATTAATGTAACTACTTTGAAAATGTTTATATGGTTCTAAACTGCAGTTTGTAAACATTAGCACACCTGGATATTCAACTAAAAATACTCTAGTTTAATTTCTGAATTTAATTAAGCTTATGAATTTTTTTCTAAGTAAAAGCCCGAGTTCCTCCCAATACATTAATCCTTATCTAGGTTTACTTTATATAAAGATAAGTCTTCAGAACTGATTTGCAGGTAATGAAGAGATAAAATAATCCCATTCTGTTTTAAAAGGCAAACTCGGATAAATTATCAGCTCTCTTATCTGAGGCATAAGGCACAAATAAAACAAGGGAAAAGTGAAAAATGAAAGAAAGAAACTGCACTGAAATAATAAAAGTCTGCCACAGATCCACACTTTAAAATTACAGAAACAGCTGCTATGTACATTCAAAGTCTGCCAGCCAGTGCACTGACTTGGATTCAGTTTTCATATCTAAACATCTTAAGAACCAATAAACCTTCCACAACAATTGAGGTAAGTATGGTAACTTATTTTGGATAAGCGAGTAAATTCCTGAATAAAGAAAATTCCACGTAACCTTTAACTTGACAAAACCCACAGATAAAAGTTAACGCAAGAGCCTTTGCAATTTCCATGAAAAAGCTATTTTAATACATGTTTTATGTTGCAATACTAAGTAATCTATTGCAGAAAGTTTCATTTAGAGACAAGCAAAAATGACCTTAAATTTAAACAAAACTTTCACTAAGACTTACCATTCATTAACATATAAATGCAATCCCCCTTTCAAAGGATAATTAAGAGCTATTTAACTTAAATGATTTTGAATCATTTAAGATTGTAAAAGCCTTTTGAAGAACTAGAATTATCAACAAGACAAAGAAACTTGTTTACATGCTAAAAGCAACTTGATCAACTGCATACAAGACCATAGCTAAAAGCTCATCTGTCTACTTCAGAGCAGCTACAGCAGCCCTGAGTTCCATTTGGAGACCCTCCCTTTAAAGTGTTTTGAAAATCTGTTGCCAGAATCAGATTCCCCACAGAAAGTATACATACATACATACATACATACATCAAAATATACTAAATATTTAACAAATATACTAAATATTTAAATATCAGCAACTTTCATTTTTCACACACACACACACACACACACACACACACACACATCATGAAATAGCATCTCACAAATATGGGAATTCCAATAGAAAATTTTAAATTGTAGATACTAACAAAAACCCTTCCACCTTAAGCATATATAAACATACGTCAAGCAACAAGCTCATTGTTTCAATAAACAAAGTTGCACACAATAAAAGATACAATATATTGCAGCTTGGAATTGTTTTTTAAAATCCAAAATGACACTAAATGTCTGCACATTAAATCCTAATAAAAGTGACAAGACATCAAAAGTCAAACTTCAACAAACATTACATGCTTCATAACACACAAAACAATTTTAAAATCCTCAATTCCCACTAAAAGATTTACTTGAAACAAACAGATTTCCTAACTGTGAGATACACACCTAATGTTCTATGTTGTGAACAAGGAGGAAAGAAGACACCTGCACTTAAATCTTGAAGCATCCCGTCCTGATGAGCCCAGAGAAACTAATTTCTGCCATCAGAAAAGTCCACCACCAGAACAGCAAGTAATCATATGCGCCGCTCGAAAGGAAACAGCAAGCCAGCCGATCCTGACTCTAGGTCTCTCGAGGTACAATAATATAAACCTGATCAATTGCAATTAAAATCTGAACAGAGACTTAGAACCTGAAGTCTTGGTGCATTAGTTCTTGCCAAAAGCAGATGTGATTGTGAGCTGGAAGCAATTTCTCCTGGTAATTTGTGATGACACTGGGTAGTTCAGCCCCAGAGTCCCCAAAGACAAGCTCATCAGAGGCTCTAATGTATGCATGACACATGAGGTGGCTCTTTTAGAGCTCAATTAATTGGGTTGAACATTAAGACAGCAAGTTCAGGACTCCCTCCACCCCCTTCTAGAGTTGCTTTTCCCCTTTAAAGGCTTTTTTTTTTTTTTTTTTTTTTTTTTTGCCTTACCTTCAGCAAGCCATGTTTCTTGTAACTGACTCAGATCTTGAAAGAGTTCTAAAAAGCAAGTCAAAGACACAAACATAAGACTCAACAGTCTGCAGTCTTCATTAACTGAAAATGTTTGTCATGATGCTGGCATTCAGTATGATTTCAATTTAGAGGGCATCAACTGAACATAGCATTCATCTCCGAAGTAGCTGAATAATCCTGCTTGCTTATAACATCAATTAGGTGACACTTAAGAGATTTCTTTAGACAACTAAATAATATCGATTATCTTCTTTTTCTTTTTTAACAAATAAAAAGCAAGCTCAAAGAGAATGAAAAACACACATGCACTAAAATTCACCAAAGTGCTGAACTAAAGACGTCTACATACAGAAATCTTTCCTAACAACACTTAACTGGCTAAAACAGGACCAGGGTAAAGATTAAAAAGACAAAGCATTTACATCTTCTAAGTTTATAAACAAAATACCAACAAAACTTGAATTAATTCCCAAGTTATATTTTCCAACCGAATTACCTCAACACTCCAGGGACAACTTCACATATAGGCATATAAAGAAAAACTTCTACATTAGCAGACTTATAAAAGTGAAAGACAGACAGTGCCCTGACTTTGGTTTATTATCAATTCCAAATTGTACTCTGGCATGGAGGTGGGGGGAGATATCTAGTAAGAATGAAAATTTGCTGGAGTTTAGAATTCTGTACACCTCATTTAAATTCAAACTCAACTTTGGTAATTAAGTTTCTTCAATCCATTATGAATGCCCCACAGGGTTGAAATAATTCCTAATACATTGACATTTTACCAACAGTTTACAGAAAAATCTGCAGCCTCATTTACCAAATAATATAATAACTACTCATTTAGCCTGAAATTTGATCTAGTGAATACTTCAAGGCCTATTAACAAGACGTTATGACTTCACAATACAGTCATCAAACTCACCCATAAAATTTCAACAGTAGTATATAGCTTCATTTATGTTGTTTAACTTGTAATAAAATTTAAAGAAAAACGTAAGCAGTGTGCATAGCTGCTTACTCTGTCTAGGGGTGTTAGATAGTTTTAGATTGTTATCTCAGGGTAGGGGATTAGTTATATGCCATATGGACAAAAACAAACACTAAATAATGTTTGAAAGAAGAAGGTAACTGTTGGGTGCTAATTTCCTTCTTTCATTAGTTTGTGGCAAGATAAAATAGTCTCCAAGGCAAACTCACTGTGGAAATGATTGCATGTAAAGTTCATGTTAAATTCAAGAGTTTCAGTGTTTATTATTTTTTAGATGAGATTGAGATGGGCCTCTTCTTTGGAGATTTCAGAATGTAGGTAAGAAAGGGCTTCAGCTCAGAGTCAAACCTCACCTTCAGAATCATGAGCCAGATCTCTGTTAATGACTTTTCTTTTCCTGACATTTGTTGGTTTCTCGTTACAATTTCTCCCACGCTGACTCTACAAAGGGAAAGATAAAATCCTTTAAAAGAGTATAAACCTCAGATGTCACACATTTAAAAAAAAAAAAAAGCATGCATACATAACATAAGCCTACTGGGTCCTCTCTCTGAGTAGAAAAAAAAAGTTCATAGGAGAACTTCAATATTTATTGTCTGACTTTGGCAGTGAAGGCTCAGGCTGCGAGTACAACAAGAGAGTGGCTCCCAGAGCAGGTCCTGACACTCTTGTTTCTTCTCATCATAGTTACATGTAATCTCAGCATCGACACATTAAACTAAAACACTTCATTCTTTTTTTTTTTAACTAAATCAACTCTAGATTAAAAGCGATTCCATTCCCTCTCAGACGACAACCCCCCACCCGCAGTAAGATAAGCCAAAGTAGTGGAAAACTGGAAAAAGCAAGAAAATGAGGGGGGGGAAGCAACCCCCAAGACACCCCATGTAAACAAAAAGGGTCAGCATTTGTCTCAACTTCGTCCTTTTCAATGTGGCAGACAAACCCAGCCACAAACTTTGAGTGCAGCTTCCCTTCGTCTTCTCTTCCACCCATCGTGGACACTTTAACCAGAAGGGGTCTTAAAACAAAACTATGCCTTAGCCAAATCTCTCAAAGGTAAGCTCATTTTGTAGATGGGGCTTCTAGAAGCAGAGTCGCCCTACAGTGGCAACAAAGCAGATAAAGTGTCTGCAGTCCCAACCCCCTGCCCCCTCCCTTTGCTTCTCTCGCTCTCCCCACCCCCGTCCGAGTCAAGTTTATAAACAGCAACTTTCGAACTGATCACTCACGTTGGTGACCACGTAAGGCACTTGCTGGTCATAAAATCCATCCATTCTGCTGCTCTTCACAAATATTAGCTCAGTGTTTTATATTTTGAGCATTTAGCAGGAGATTTCCTCGGAATCTGGACTTCTATAAACCTAGAGGGGAACAAGATGGCTTTTAGGCTTAAAAAAATCATGAATGAAGCTCTTGCATTTGCATAGCTAATTACCCTCGACAGTCCCATTCACAAAAATAACCCTCCCCTACGCCTCCTTCTTCACCTGGATCCAAAGAGAGCCAAGAGAGTTCACAATTTACATATTTTCGGTAGTATCAAAAGTCCTAACCAGAGGCAGTGTATTTATTTACGCTCTGGACGTCCCCTGTTCGGTCAGTGTACCCCAGGCAGCTCTGATTCGCAAACGTGTGCAAAACTAGCAATGGCGATCAACGAGACTTGCTTTTCACCTAACGGGACTAAAGAGAAGGAGACACCTCTTTCATAAGGATAGTTTTTGCAACCCACAACCATGCAATTATCTGGAGAGACATAAAAAGTTGTTGGAAAGACCCACCTGAAGGCCACGCTAGGCGAACGGCTGCAAAAAATTCCCTCCAAATTTAATAAAAACATTAATTATTGCCCAGCACTTCCCCTTGGAAGCCGAAAGCGCCTCTGACAGAGCTCAATTCGGTGGTTTTTCCTCTACTTCTCCTCCAGGGGCCTCCAATCCAAACTGATGGATCGCTGCCTCCCATTGGCTCCACGTCTCTTTCACAAGATCAGATTTCGGGCTGTCAATCAGGCGGCTTTCGGCCCCTTCCCTTGGGTCTCTCGCGCCCCTCTTGACTGTGCGACCGCTCTGCGGAAACGCGCAGGGTCCGCACCCAGGAAAAACCACCAAGGAACCCTTCCTAACTTGCTGTTTTGGACAAGACCCGGGGGATACTGAAACCTAGTGTACCGAGTCAACCATTTCTCCTTCCTAGCGTGTTTGGTCCATTATTAGGCAGATATACTTAAAACCTTGTCCTGAGGTTCAGGTACAGATCTACAAAGCCAGTGTCCCCAGTTCCTCTTCTCTACGTCTGACCCCGAGCCCACCGCACGCTCCAGCATCGCTCCCCACCACCTTTCGGCCCAAGCTATTTTCCCATTTTTCAGCACTATAGGGCTTATTGAATCTTTTTTTTTTTTTAATACATCCTCAACTGAAACGACCTCCTTTTGTCCGTGGGATTAAAAAAAAAAAAAAATGCCTGTAAGGAAAGCAAGCTGGATAAGCTGCTTCTTAAGAGAGGTGGAAACAACGGGAGGGAGGATCCGGAGGAGTGCGGGGCAGCGAAGGCGAAGAAAGTATAAAAATCAGATTCACTCCGGAGAGTGGTGAGGGAAAAGAAACCTCCTGCGGGCCACAGAGGGGTGGGGGAGGACTGTGTGGTTCAGACGTCCCCCACCCCACCCCACCTCCGACCCGCCGTTTCCGGAGCTTTTGTTTTGTATACAGAAAGGCGGAGAGTGTCACTTACTGTACTTGAGGATTTCACTTCCTCCACCGAGGAGGGGAGGAGTGAGCGGGAGAGCTCGGGTTACAAGGACAATGATGGGACGTTTGGAAGCGGGGACATATCTGAAGCTGCTTGCCCGTGGGGCTTAGTGCAGAAGTCCCCTTCGTAGCCCCTGTCCCACCCGGAATGAGAGGCCGGGAGGAGCTGGCTGGGAGCTCCCTGGTGTTGAAAGTCACTTGAGACCCTAGCGGCGACCAGGGCTGGTGACTTTTCCACCAGCTGCTCTTCCCGTTGAGCAACGTGCTGCGGCTCTCCATTTCTATTTGAAAGTTTGTTTCTTTAAATGGAACATGGTGGAGACATTAGAATGGGAACGTGCGCGCCTGGCACTCCAGACACGCTGAGGAAGAGGAAGGTCTATGACAAAACACTCTTGCGTTTCAACTTGGGGAGAGTGTAGTCTTCCAGGGCACACTTAGCGCTTGTCCCCAGGGTAGTCAGAGCACGGTGCACGTCCCCTTTCAGGGAACTGCATCAGAGCCCGGGTGATGGCTGCGTTCCGGGCGCAGTAAAGCTGGAGTCGGGAAGCTCTGGAGTGCTTTGTGAGGGTGCAACCCGAACAGGGGACAATAGAGCTGGTACCCCGCCGACCTGCAAACCCGGGACAAGACAGCAACAGTTTCCAAAACCCTTCTTGGAGGCCAGAGCCGGACAAGTATCCAGGACAACCGGGAGAGGGAGGAGCTTCTCCGAAGGCCCGGCTAGCATGTCCCTGCAGCCAATGAGGAACCGGAGATTTCCAGTCCATTGTTGTTTATTGCTGACCCCTCAGCGCTCCGCCAGCGGATTGGCTGCATTCGAGCAGGGGGCGTTGCCCGTGCCTTCCTCTGATCCACCTTTCTGCTCCATTCACAAAATCCCGATCTCTCTGGGTCACGTGGTCGGGGGTGTGGAGGGACAAGGAAAAAGACACAACAAAGGCCAAATTCTCAAAACCACTGAAGTTTTTATCAGTCGCTACCTCCCCTATGCAGCCTTGGTAGCAAACCACATTAGATGAGGGAAAGTATCCTTTAGTCTGAGAGAAGTAGAAGAGAGTGAGAAGGAGGAAGTCCAGGTTAAAGGAACACTCACAGGAAATAATTCCTGCCTAAGGGAAAATCCTGCTGATGAACAGAAAACTGGCGGGGGAGGGGGGTAGTGGGGGTTAGAGAGGTCTAACAACTTTTGCTTTCTCTTAGCAACAGGCTGTTTAAAAGTGCAAGCTGTCTCTATAGAAGTATTGAGCGGCTCTCCTCCACCCCCCCCCCCCCACCCAAGGTTCTTTTGTTTACATTTTTTACTTTTGATTTATCCCAGTGTCATTTTCTCTCCAGGTTCTTTTAGTGCATGTTTTCACTGGCTGACAATTTTAGTTCTGGCTTCCAAAGCCTATCACCCCTACACAGGCCCCCTCTTCCCTTAGGATGGTCCATCTTGCTGCTGCAGCTCTGAGTTTCCCCTTTGCAACTCTCTCAGTAGTTGAGAGTGATTTTCTTATTTGACTAAGCAGTCATTCGCTCTAAGCAGCCAAACTGCTGAGCTAAGTATGTGCTTTTTGTGATGGACCATTTACCTCTGCAGCTCTCTTTCTCTAGCTTCATTGTAGAAGAGACATGTTCTCTCTTGCTTGCTCTTCTCCTGGCTACTTACAGAAATACCAGGAATTAGCCTGGTGCCTAGCTATGTTCTACTCTTGGTAAGTCCAGTAGCAGAAGGTAACTAAAGGTTTTAATTTCCACTTGGGTTACAAAGATGGAAAATGGCTGCAGAAGCAGCTGTATGCACAAGAAGAGGTACTCTGAAGTTGCACAAGTTTCCACAACTTTTTGAGATTGTCTTTTTAAATCCATTTAGTATATTTTAGTGTTCCTTGAATGGAAAATTTAACTTTGGCAAGATTTCAAACATAGAATGGCAGCTCAGAGGCCAAGAGGCTTTGACATTTATTTACTTGCATTTTGAAATCCCATTTGGATTTTGAAATAAGAGCACTTGAAAGAACATAGCCTCTCCCCAATGCTTTTTTTTTGCAAAGATTTTTGTTAAACTTGTATATAAAGTTATTTAAAGTTTTATAGTTCTTTTGCTGCTATTTTATGAAGTAAAATAATATGCATTAGTGGTTTTCTGCAGTTGACTTATGACATTGAAAATGTATGTTCTTAAGTAGTTTAATTTATAATTTGTCTATAAAAATACAAACTATTATGGTCCTAACTTTTTAAAAATGGTTAATATAGCAAGCAGGGTGCCCATGCCTTTAACCCCAGTACTCAGGAGGCAGAGCCAAGAAAATGGCTGCAAGTTTGAGGTCAACCTTGTCTATGAAACAAGTTCCAGTCAGGAATACAAAAAGACACATACCTCTCCTCTGAGAGGGAAAAAAAAAAGTAAGTAAAATAAAATTACTAGTATAATGAAAATTAAAAATTCTAAAATTTATATTATGTAAACTAGCAATTTTTTAAATTTATTTTAATAAAATAGCATATAAGTGAATTCTTGATGACCTAGTTTTTTCCCCCATAGGACTACATTAAATAGTTCAGTATAAGATATACCATTATAAAGAATTATTAGCTATGTGGAAATAATCCAAGGGGAAAGATGGTGTCCCATCAGCATGATGATAGATAGCTGAAAACCTCACGGGGATATCTTTTCAAGGCAAGCAAGAATTTGAGGTGACAGTTAAGAGTGTTAAACAAAGACAAAGGTGTTGGTCCATACCTTTAATCCCAGCACTTTGGAGGCAGAGGCAGAAGGATCTCTGTAAGTTCAAGGCCAGCCTGGTATCTAGAGTGAGTTCCAGGGCAGTCAAAGCTACACAGAAGAACCCTATCTCAAAAACAAACAAACAAACAAAACAAACAAAAAAGAGAAAGAAATACAGGGTAGAAGACATTCTCCTCTCTATCATGACACAACCACTGTCATCTAGTGAAAGTCTCTTTACCATGAAGTCAAAAAATGACTCCTAATGCCCAGAAATGTAGATGATAGAGCAAAGGAATTCACATACACTGTATCTTGGATTTTATGTAATGTGTTAAAGATGAGTTTATATTATCTCCTGGTCCTTAACTTGGGAACTGTCTGCTAAACCATAAGTCAGAGCCAATAATCCTGTCTTGAAAAATCCCACAACTGCCACAGAAATATTTATTAGAAGAAAAACTCTGGATGCAATCCAATCCCACCAATAAAGCATTGGGGTTTATGAATTATAATGTTTTGGAATTCAATTATGATAATGTACCTGTTTCTTTTTCTTTTTTCTATGTATGTGATTTTCCTGGTTCTCAAATGAGATTATATAAGAAATGTCTTAGGAATTCAGGTTATTGGGTGCATTGGGTCTTGGGCACTGTGAGCTGGAGCTTGGATGCAGGGGTCTGAACCCTGGAGTACAAGGGGAAGTGCTTAATGTGTATAGTCAGACATGTGTTACTTGACCCACACATTGACCTTCACAGACAACATTTAAAATTCAAATTATGTCCAGCAACCGAAATCAGCATGCCTGCAAAAACATAAATAAAATAAAATAAAAGACTGGTAACACTGTGCCATGAATGGGAAAAAAAAAAAAAAAAAAAAAGCCTAATGTAAAAGTAAAAGGAAAAAGTTTATTATAAATATGTTGTAGGGCATAACCCAGACACAGAGACATCTGGGAGAGTACAGAGTGGACATGACCAGACTGACCTGGGCCATGTGGGGATAAGGGGATGGAAAGAGAGAAGATCATGTCCAGGAGCCAAGAGACCAAAGATACAAAAAGGGGTGGGTACCAAAATGCCTGCATTACATAGAGAAGAATGCCTTGGAGAGGGCTGGAGAGTTCAGGGTAGAGAGCAGGGTATGCTAGTCACTCTCTAACAGGTAGGGGCTGAGGGATGCTGGGAGAACCTGGAGGCCAGGTGGATTTGATTTGTTAACTAGGCACCATGGCTAGTTTGTCACAGGTTTGAAACTTAACAGTCCAGAACTCATAAATCTGTTGTCTTCCAACAGAAAACTGTCAAATGTTCCTGTGAGAATAAATTGTTTAATAAAGAAGTTGACTGAACGATAGCTGGACAGGATAAGGTTAGGTGGGAGAGCCAAACTCAGAATTCTTGGTAGAAGAAGGGTAGAGCCTAGGAGTAATGAGTAGACCCAGAAAGAAGCAAAATGGCATGTCATACTGAGAAGAAATACCAAGCCACGTGGCCTAGTGTAGATAAAATGTACGGGTTAGCTAGTAACAAGCCTGAGCTATTAGTTAAGTATAATTAATATTGAGTTTCCACCTGGGTTA